CCTTGGATTACAACCATGCATCACTGAGCCTATCTGATACAGGGATAGATCCTAGAGCTTTTAGCACAATAGGCAGTACTCTGCAAAGTGAACTACATTCCCAACCTCCCTCATCTGATCCTTTTGTTGTGTGGGGGGGAGTGTGTGTGGGAAGTGTGTGTGTATGTGTGTGTGTGTGTATGCGTGTCTGTGCACCTTGTGCATTCAGTACTTGTGTAGGCCAGAAGAGGGCGTCAGTTCCCATGGGACTGCAGTTACAAATGACTTCCGGTACCAGAGCTACTTAGAGTTGGTTGTTAGCTGCAGTATGGGGGCTGGGAACGAAACCTAGGTCCTCTGGAAGAGCATCCAGGGCTTTTAATGCCTGAGCTGTCTCTCTACCCCCTGATCTGCTCTTCGGAAACATCTCAGACCAGTTCTAAGAGTCCTGAGCAAGATGAACATGGATACCAGTCGCCGACTTAACCACTCAATCTCAGCCAGTCACCCTGTACGGTGGACTTGCCTGGCTCACCTTGGTAGCACATGCCTGTAATCACAGCATTCTGGGAGCAGAAAGGCAGAATGATGGATGAAAACCACAGTCAGCCTGATCTACATTGTGAAATCTGGTCAAAAGGAGGAGGAGGGATAAGCTGCCATAGTACAAAGGGAACCTCTCTGGCTTGGGATGTATCTTCCTCTTCTACTCGGGGAGGGGGGGGGGAACCAGTAAGTAAAACAGAGAAGCCATGATCTACCTTCATCCACGTCAACTCCATCTTCATACCTCCTCCTGGAGAGTCTACTGAGCACCTGTAATCCAACCTAGGAGTGAAAGTTCAGCTTGGCTTGTACCAGTCCTACTGACTTTGGGGGTTCAGATGACCCACAAAACTCTTAACTCTGAGGAGAAGTTAAAAGCCAGACAGTGCGGGCTGGAGAGATGGCGCATGGCTATAAGCACCGGCTGCTTTTCCAGATGACCAGGGTTCAATTCCCAGCACCCATACGGCAGCTCACAACTGTCTGTAATTCCAGTTCCAGGGAACTTGACACCCATGGCAAAACACCAATACACGTAAAAATTTTAAAAAGTCACACAGTAACTGCTTCAAGTTCTGGCTTCACCACTGTGTACTTGTGTGCCCACAACCAATCTCACACCCCTTCTCACCTGCAGAAAGAGCAGAAACACTTTTCAAGAATGGAATGGCATACGGGCAAGCAACAAGGCATCCAGAATTTGCAAAAGTTCCATAAATGCAGATTTTTTTGCAGTGACCTTGATCAAGGCATCCAAGGTCACAGTAGATTTTTCTCCCCAACTCTTTAGTTATGGTTTCTGACTCTCCACAGAAAGAACGTTTAACTAGCCTCTGTTCTGCCTGCACCATGGAGAGGGCTGTGGTTTGCAGCCCTGGCTGCACAGACGAAGGGCATCAAGATAAAGGCACAGTTGAACCCGAGGTCGCATGGACGCGTGCTTTCTCCAGAGAGTGAACCCCTGGCAGCTGTTCCCTTCCCCAAAACCCGCTATATGCCAGAGGGAACCTGAAGCCAAGATTGGCTTCTCCTGAGGAAGCTTTGTGTTGTCTGTCTGTCTGTCTGTACTTTGATTTTTGAGACAAGGTCTCGTGTAGCTCAGGCTGGTCTCTAACTCACTATGTAGCAGAGAATGGCGCTGAATGTCTAGTCCTCCTGCTTCCACCTCCCTGGTGCTGGAACTTTAGGCGTGCACCACCAAGCCTGGCTTCTAGAGGAACTCTGCAGCAATGTAGATGCTGTCTCTTGTGAGAGTGAGCTTTCTGTCCCGGAGGGTGTGTAAGCAGAACCCAAGGGACATACAGAGGGGTGTGTGTGTTCAGTGGGGGCCACTCTGCGGGAACCCTGTGCAATTCTCAGCATGTCGAGACAACTTGCTCTCAGAAGCTACAGGCCTTTGTGGGCTCGAGATGTCGGCTCCCTTCTTTTCTGTGCACCTCCTCATTTTCCCCTCCCTATGATTGATCTTCTCCTCTCCCACCCCCTCTCCAGGACCCTTGAGAAATGAAAACCCATATGAGAATAGAATCTCATATTATGTGCATATTATGGTTGTGTGTGGTGGAATGCTGTGAAGATAAAGGAGGGAGAGGTAGAGAATGGAAAGGCAGGCTCTCTCTCTCTCTCTGTCTGTCTCTGTGTGTGTGTGTGTGTGTGTGTGTGTGTATGTGTGTAAGAGGGGGAGGGATCGAGGCACACAATATTCACAGCAGGTGTGCTGATGTCGTCCAGCGTCCAGGAACTGGGCTGTGGGTGAGCCCAGGGCACACGAGTGTGCGCATCAGGGCAGAGCTGCTGAGCCACTGTGCCAGTGCAAGTGTGTCAGCCCTGGGATGGGGTTGAGTCTGCTTTTATCTCCTCTGGCTGTGTGGGATTTACAAGCTTTTGAAATGCAGGATTAATAAGAAGAGGCCGGTGTTTTAATCTATAATGGAACAGAAAGTATCATTATTGTTAAATAATGCACAGCCTGTCGTTTATTAAGAATTAATGGTTTATCGAGTGTTCAGGTTGCAGCAGTCGCCTGTGCCCTCCCTGGCCTGGGCTTCTAGCTGGTGGCCTGTCCCTCAGTCCTGTCCCCAGAGCCTGCAGGCTGCAGGGGCAGCAGCCACCAGTGGGTGGCCTGAGAAGCTCAGAGCTTCAGCTGAGAGGTTCAGCCTCTCTTAGTGGTATTCCTTGGTGGGGTCAGGAACAGGGAGGCAGACTAAGGAGATATGACACAGTGATCCCGTTCACTGACTCAGCCTGGATCCTTCTGTCCATCCCATTTTAGGGAGAGGGAGATTCCTGACCCACCACATTTCAGGTTAGGAGACTGTCTCCATTCTTGGAAGTCGGGACAGTAGAGACCCAACTATACAGGAAGTTCCTTCCTCCTGGGTCATGGAGTGTGGTGCTACAATTTTCTCAGGAGAATCAGCATCTACAGAGACCTCTCAGCTGGAAAGAAAGAAGCCACTTTAACCAAGGACTTTCTGCAGGCCAGGCATCCCCAAATGTCTTTCCAGTTCAGGCCTTGGGGCAATAGCTCTAGGCTTCCCTGTTGCTTTAAAGCAGTTGATTTTCAAGGAGAGTGCTTGAGAACCACTGACGGGCCTCTATGCCTGCCCCGTGATGCTTCAACTGTAACGATGCACAAACAAAACATCAAAAACCTCAGCAAATCTAGCATCTCCCCCAGCAGAGAGCTCTGAGGACAGAGCCAGGTGATGCTCCAGATGGCAGCCAGGGTCCTGACTCCCAGCTTAGCATCCCAGTCAGATCCATCCTTGACCTCTGGACACAGAAAGTCTCGCTTACCCATCACCCACCTGTTTGTATGGTTTGAATCTCTAGCCAGAAAGACTGGACTCCAGATCCAGCTTCTGATTGCCACTATATCTGTGGCAGAATCAGCACCCTGTGACCTTGAATAAGTTCCTCAACCTCTCTGAATCTCTGGTGGATGTCGTAATAGGCCTGCCTCAAAGGATTATTGTAAGTGCTCAATGAGGTCATCCATGTCAGCCTGCAGCACAGACTTGACAGTAAACACTGGGTTGATACTGGGGAGGAGTGGTGCTGCTGGGGCTGCTGATGCCAGCAGATATTCGTAGCATCCAGAGGCCACCAGTTACCACCCCATTCCTCCCCTACTGTGCTTATGCAGCGAGCACATACTCTGGGCTGGGCACTTGTGATCAGTCTGAGGCCTTGCTGAACAATGTCTGTCTTTACCAAACCTTCAAGCCCTCTTCACCTCCTTCCTATAGTCCCAGCTCCAATCCCTCTCCTCTCAGCCTTTAATCTTGCACCCTCTGAAGCCCCCCACTGTTCCTACCCCACCTCATTTCTGCGCCCCACGCTCCACTCTTCTTCCATTCCAAACAACGCGGTGTTTGCCAGCTGCCTCCTTCCTACTTCTTTCCTCTTTTCCCATCGTCAAGTGCAACACCACTCTAGTCTCAACCCCAACTCGCTCTACTCTTCTTTCCCAGTCCCAGCCTTTCACAGCCACTACTATCCTCCCCTATCCCCAGCCTTCTCCCATCCCAGTTACAGGGGTCCTGAGGTTCTGTTGAGGGTGGTGACACTGCCCCTAGAGGCCATTGTGGGAAGGCGCACTATGAGAAAATGAACCCCCAATATCCCAGAGCGGGCACAACCCCAGCACCTGCAGTGGGTGGAGCCCCTGATTGGCTGGAGTGGGGTGGGCACAAACTGCGCTCCAGCGAGCTCCTCACTCCCCACCCCCACTGTCCTCTCTGCTCTGGGCGGGCCACCACGCTGGGACCTCGGCCCACAGCCGGGCTCCTCACGCGGCTCCTGTTTTATTAACCTGCCTGTCGCTGCTCTCGCCACTGAATAGGGCCTAGGGGGGGAGGGAGGGAGCTGAGAGGTGGGGGCCGGGCTTTGCGGGAGATCACCATGGAAACAGCAGCTCGGCCAATCAGTGGACAGGCAGGCCGAGTGCAGCGGGCAGCTCGGTCTCTGAAGCCTCGTGCAGCCACCGGCTGACTCCTGCCTGACAGGCGGTCTGCAACCCCTGCGAGGCAGAGGATGAAAGGGGGGGACAAGACCCTAGGGGAAGTGGCACCGGCAATTGAGTGGCGGGGCGGCCGTGAGGCTAGAGGCACTGGGGTGTGTGTGTGGAGGGGGCTAGAATAGAAGATAGAGAAACTGGGGGAAGCGATGCTGGCGACGAGCCCTGGTGTGGGGAGACAGTGACAGGACCACAGGAGCCCGATGCAGAAAGCCCAGTCTCTTCCTGGTGGAAGTGTTCCATCCACGCCAGGGTTCCTCGCTGGTTGGGACCACTCCACTCTTTGTGTGGGAAAGGACCGACTCTGCACCCACGGCCAGCCAATAGCACTCCCTACCCCACCCCCCACCCCCAGTTATGACAAGCAAAGACGACAGCACACATTGTTGAATGTCCGGGGGAGGGCGGGTCTGTCCCTAGTCAGGAACCGCTGAGCAGCACCAGGCAGTGGTCACTATTCATGAAATTTGTTGCCCTTGAACTGGCTTCCCTGCGAGAAAGGAGGAGGACAAGGAGGGGAAGTGGAACAGGAGGAGGAGGAGCCAGAGAGAGCCAGGCTAGGGTCCAGGTGGGTGGAAGGGGAGCAGGACTCCAGTTTGGGCTGCTGCGAGGAGCAAACAAAGCAAGCTCTCTAAATTCCTTCCTCCCTGCCCAGCCTTGCCCAGCTGTCCTGCAGACTCACTCCAGACACCACATCCAGGAAGTCCGCCCTGGTTGTCTCAAGCCATCTCTGGATTTCCTTTCCTTCGGAACAGTTCTCACTCGCCCCTGCCTCCACCACATCCCTCTGACTCACTGCTAAGAGTTGTCACCCCTGCTGAGGGAGAACCTTCCCTCTGCCAGACCCTGACAGACTTCATTCCTATTTCCTCATCTCATTGTCACAACTCCACGCGCCGGGTACCATTATCATCACCATTTTGCAGGTGAGAAAAGCGAGGCTCCCATTAGCAAGCTCGCGCAGGATGGATCACGGAGACAGCGGTGAGGATTCAAAGCAGGTGGTCAGGCCTGAAGGCTTGCCTGTCTAACCTCAGATGTGTAGTGTGAAGCTCGCGGCTCCTGGATGGGTCTGGAGCCCCTTGCAATGCCCAGCACGCACTGGTGAGTAGCAGGCACCGCTGAACTGCTCTGAATAGCATGGTGGTTCTGTGTGAACAGCCAGGCACCGAGCCCAAGCAGGCTAAGACTGAAGCAACTCATGGCGCTGGTCCCCAGAAGGCCAGCAGGGTTTGTTGTGGCATGGTCTAGTGGGGTCCGTCCCACGAAAGGAAGTAGTACCACTGAGACTATTTTCCAGTCACACTACCTCACCAGGTCTCCCATGGAGGCTGGGCCATGGCCCCCCCTAGTGGCCAAAAGGTCACTCTGATGACAGGGGTGTCCCCCAGTGTACCTGAAGATCTCAAACACAGTGGTCTTCTCACCAGGCTAAATTCTCAGACTCCAGAGCATGCCCTCGGAGTTAGAGCTAAACACCTCAAGGGACTGGACTTGCCCCAACTGAGCTTGACAGGACAAACCTCCACCACTACCCCTCTCCCCACAGAAAGAGTTCCTTCCCTCCACCCCTAACACATTTGAAAAGGTGCTGCCCTCAGAGGACTCAATCAGAGCCCTCCTTCACAATGGCCAGAATGATTCCACCCCCATCCCAGCAAGAGGGGGCTTGAGGCTGTGGGGGTACCGCTAGGAAATATTGAATAACGCCACCTCCCACTCAGGTGAGGGTTTTGGTCTGGAATCCAGGAGCTGGAGTCCCAAGGGGCTCCCATCATAACCGCTACCCCCACACACACCATGCACCACCCGCCTCCCTCAGGAACCTGCCACACACGCACAGCACCTCGGCTTTGAAGGCAGGGCTCCTGGCAGGCTGCTGTTCCCATGGCAACTCCATCCCAGGCTGCCCTACCCAGTACTTTCCTCCACCCCCTTCCTCCACCCTGAATCCATATCACCTTCATTCACAGAACAAGTGCAGCATCACATCATCAAAGTGGACACCCCTTCCCCCCTCCCTGGCCTTTCTTCATCCTTGTTGTCTCCCCCTTCTCATTCAGTGGGAAGCCACAAGCTGGGAAGGGGAGGGGTGGAGAGAGTGGAGGTGGCAAGAGGTTGAGCTGCGGTGGGTGAAAGAAGAGGGGAGACTCCGGAGGGAGCCATGGCTCAGCTCCCCTTCACAGTGCTGTGGTTCCCAAGGTTTTGGCTTCTGGTCTCATTCCCAGGGCTATTTCATCTCGGTGCATGGGTCTGTGTTTTTCCTGGGTGAAAGTCCAAAGCCCAGACAGGCTCTCTGATGAGCCCCAAGACTCACACTGGGGCTCACCATCAGAGCCCAGGTGCTGTCATTTCAGACCCTGGAACTCAGCCCCCAACGCCAAGGCTGCTCCCCATTCTGAGCTGGTGCCCCTTGCTTGGGAAAGACACTCCTTGTCAGAGTCAATGGGGTCACTGCAATCTCCCAGTGGGTCAGTGGGCAGAGCTGGTGGAACCTCAACCCCCATTGTTGCTTAGACAATATGACTCCTCCAACTAGGGAACCTTGACTTTGGCAGGTGCTGTTGCAAAGTCCAGAGACGCCTGCTCTGGCCAGCAACAGTCCTCTGTCTTCAGGAGGTCCAGGGCGATGGTCACAACCCAGCTTTAGAGCCAGCGGCCTGGACTTGAATTGCAATGCTCTCATTTGTCCTCCACAGGGAGCTTGTCTCCTCTGCCTTGATTCCCGTGTCTGAACAACGGAGGCAGCAATGACACACAGGCCTTGAGTTGCAGTATTTCATTTACTCCTTGCGGCAGCTCAGCGGGGTAGAATGATTGTTGTCTGATCTACAGAAGGGAAACTGAGGCTGGGATAGTTAGCGGCACAGCAGGACTTTAATCAGGCAATAGAAGGTACTGTTGGCACAGAGTCCATACACAGCGGCTAAATCTGAAGGGGGAGGGGTCTTAAGAGGTGGGGCTCAGGGCTGCAGCACTTGCCTCACACTGGGTAACTCAAGCTGCCATGTAGTCCCTATTGCGGTTTCTATGACCTAAGCTCAGGCCTCCTGTGTCACTGGCCTTTGCTCTGGGGATGAGCAGATTCCACTGGGGACCCAGGCTGTGCATTCATCAGCCAAGATCAAGGTCAAGAAAGGACTTAGTGAGACTGACTGATGTTGTCCAGGAGGGGAGCTAGCTCCGGCCCAAGGAGTGCCTGAGCCAACAAGTTGTGAGCAACTCTGTCTAGCCAAGCACTTGACCATGCACACTGAAGAAGGTGGAGCCTCAAGGATGAAGGGACTTGGCCAACGGATAGCTGTTTGGTCTACCCTGCCTTCCTAGGATGCTGCCTGTGGGAGACAGACCAAGGTCAGGGGCTCTGGGCTTAGAATCATCCAGAAAGGGAGCAGAAATCCCTAAGGAAGCAAGGCTTGAACCTGAAGGACAGGTTGTGGGGCTCGGTCTCTCCCCTGCCAGCCCACAGCTTCCCATCTTCCCATAACCCACCCCCAGTTTTTTAGGGGTCCTCCAACCCCTAAGCAGCTTAGCCTCTCTGGGAATTTCAGTGTGCTGGAACTTCACACACACACACACACACACACACACACACACACACAGCCCCAATCCCCTACCTTGAGTGAACAAGCCAAACAAACAGCATTGTTCTCCTACACAATGGACACAAAGAACTTGGGAATTCACAGAATGGTCCAGAATTTCAGCTTCCTTCCCCTCCAAGCCCTAGAGAGCTCCATTGTCTGCAAACTCCACTTAGAATACGCACCACTGCTCCAGCTGTGGAGCCACTTAAGACTCAAGGAAGCACCCCCTCCTTCCCTCCCAGTACCCTGCCGAGCTAGTGGGGAGGAGGGGAGCAGCCTACAGTCCCTGCACCAGTGACAAGCTAGAAATGACTCTGCCCTCAGTGCCACTCGGGGGCGCCCATTTTACAGCTGAAAACCCCGACAGACCATAATCATCAGACCTAAGGAAATGAACGTTCCCAGGGCCCCCTCCTCTGTTCCACTGTGTGTTTATAGACCTCTAAGGACAGAGGACTCCCTGAGTTCCTAAGGCACCTGTTCTACTGAAAGGTCCCACCAACGACAAAACAATCCTTGAAGGAATCCCCTAAGACTCAGATGACTGACCCTCCGATGGGATGTGGCTCCTGGAATCTGAGTCTGCCATGATGCTCTCCTGAGGTCCTCTTTCCCCCAGAGCAACACAGTTCTCCTGGATGCTATTAATTGATAACTTTAAGCCCCTCCCCACACTATTTCCTTCACCCCAGCATCCCTAAGTGGTCATTCAACATACACTAAGTATCTTCTAGAAAGCCAGGTGGTGGTGGTGCACATCAATCCCAGCACTCAGGAGGCAGAAGTGGGTGGATCTCTGAGTTCAAGGCCAGCCTGATCTACAGAGTGAGTTCCAGGATACCCAGGACTACACAGAGAAACCCTACCTAGAAAAATCGGTGGGGGGGGGGGAGTGTTGGAAGGAGGAGTATCTTCCAGAGATCAGGCCTTGTGCCTGGGGGTAGACATCAGACAAGACTGCAGCTCTCCAGATAAGCACTGTAAATTAATGCATAATTACCAAGTAAGATAAGGGATCTGACTATACGAATTTGGGGAAAGCGACTAACAAAGCATTCTTGATTAGTGGAACAGAGCCGAGTAGCCACCAACTAACTGTGCAAAGGCCCTGTGGCAAGAGGATGTTGTTTTATTCATAATATTTATGTAATAGATGAAGTTGGTCATTAAATTTGCAGGCACTGGTGGGGTGGGGATGAAGTGTTTGAGCAACAGTGAGGGATCTGATCTGATTCTAGAGCAACAGAAACACACATCAACGTGTGCAAGAACAGCTGGTTGGTTTTCCTGATTGTTTGGTAAAAAGAGGGCTTCATATAGCCCACATGTCCTGGAACTCACTCTGCAGTCAAGGCCTTGAACTGCTCATCCTCCTGCCTCTGCCTCCTGAGTGCTGACGTCACAAGCATAAGCCACTCCACCCAGCAAGATTGGTTGATTTTTGCTCCGAAAGCCACGTGGCACTGAGGATGGAGCTCAGCTGGTATGTTTGTCTAGCGTGTACAGCACTGCAAGTCTAATCTCCAGCACCACCTTAGGCAGACCAGGGCCATGCAGACCTGTAACCCAGCACTTGGGAGGCAGAGGAAAGAGACTCAGAAACTCAAGGTCCATATCAGCAAGTTCTAGGCCAACTTGGGCTACATGAATCCTGTCTCTAGAAAGATAAAGAGAAGCAGGGGAGGGAAGGTGAGAAGGATGGAAAGAAAGAGCAAGGAAGGAAAGGCAAGCCACAAATTCCAAAGTCCCTCTCCCAAAGCAGGTCCTCTATACCCTTGCACACAGTTTTCCCTCTACCCAGAATGCTCTGCTTTCAGAACCGTCATTCCAGTCTGTGCCCAAACTACTCTCCTCTCCCCCAACAGAAGAGCAGCTCTCCCTACACATACTGTCATACTACCAACTTAGACAGTTTGGTCCTTTTCGTCGTATTCACAGGGCCTAAAAACAAATTATTTGATTTCTTTGCCTGCTTACTGCTGCTTTCTCCTTCCAAAACATAGTTTTGCCTAGTCATTAAATTTGCATGCTTCAGATCCCATTGGTTGGAAAGGGGTGAGTCAAGAGAATGCTGTGCAGTTGGCCAGAAGGCCAGCATGATGCAGAGTGTCCTCAAGTGGCCACCATGGCCAGCCAGGGTAGAGAGAAGACTTAATTCACCTCAAGCCATCCTGCTCTCTAGCCCCATCATCTGTGTTCTCACAGAGTTCTTGGCACTCAGCAAGGGCCAGCACGTAGTAAGGCCTCAGTACGTAGTAGATGAAGTTGGTCGTTATGGTAGACACCCGGCATTCCAGCATTTGGAAGGGGAAGGTAGTAAGATCGGGACCTTGAGGCTCTCCTTAGCTACACAGCAAGTTGGAGGCTAGCCCGGGTTACGTGTGAGAGACTGTCTCACAAAAACTAAAACACCTCCCCTCAAAATGAACAGGCGAATGGATGACTGATAAAAGAACCAGGGTTTACCCTCAAATATACAGATATAAATGGATATTCTAACAGGAAATGTGTGGGCACTCAATCACACAGACCAGTTTATTGCTCCGGTCTAGCTAAGCCATACCCACAACCTCTGGCTGGCCAAGGAGGACAAGGACAAAGACCCTGGCCTCGTCATCTAGTTGATCAGAGATCACTGTAGACTTTTAAACACCACACCAGAGAAGCGGCAGAGGTTAAGTCACGTGTCTCTCACAGACTCCATCTATCGCCTACCTCCTACGCCCCTCCCCCACCCACAGCCCACTGAGCTCATGGTTTCCTGAGCCCTACTCTTCTGGGAATAGTTGATCCAGTCACCAAATGGGAATTACAAGAGAGAGTAGAAACTCGGTGGGATATCTCCAGGACTTATAGTTTGGCTACTTGAGAAATATATTATTACAGGGATTTTTGTTCGTTTGCTTGTACCAGGGATTGAATTTATTAATCCCAGCACTCGGAAGACAGAGGCAGAGGGATCTCTGTGAGTTCGAGGCCAGCATGGCCTACATACTAAGTTCCAGTTCTCTGTTACACAGAGAAACCCCGTCTCGAAAAAAATAAAAAACAAAACAAAACAAAACAAAAAAAACCCAAACAACAAAAAACCTAGGCAATGGGGCTAGAGAGATGGCTCAGTGGTTAAGAGCACTGACTGCTCTTCCAGAGGACCCAGGCTTGATTCCCAGCACCCATACGGCAGCTCACAACCTTCTATGACTCCAGTTCAAGTGGATCCAATGCTCTCTTCCTGACCTCCACTAGTACATACACACACATGCAGGCAAACACCTAAACACATAAAATACAATCAGATTTTCATAAAAAGAAGGCTAGGCAAGGATTGGCAGCCAGGCCTGAAGACCTGAGTTGGATTCCCCAGATCTCACATAATGGAAAAAAGGGACTCCTGAAAGTTGTCTGCTAGACTCCGTGTACACTTGGGTTCACATGCCCACTCACACTCACTCACTCACTCAATCAATCAATCAATAGGCAAGTAAGTAAGTGAATAAATAAATAAATAGAATTTATTTGGAAGGGGAATAATTTGAGACAAGCACTCCATCTTAAAGTTACATCTTGGCCCTAATATTTTATTATTTTATTTATTAATTTGTTGACTTTGGCCGAGCAGTGGCGGCGCATGCTTTTAATCCAAGCACTTGGGAGGCAGAGGCAGGCAGATCTCAGTGAGTTTGAGGTCTACAAAGAGAGTTCCAGGACAACCAAGACTGTACACAGAGAAACCCTGTCTTGAACCCTTTCCCCCAACACCCCTCCTCCAAAAAAGAATTGTTGACGGTGCCTAGTAAGTGGTTAACCTGGCAAAGGATGGGCAGGCCCATGCACCGTAGCTGACTTGGGGGTAGACTGAGGCAGATTTGGAACACTGAGTGATCAGGAGATGTCTTCACACAGCTTTGCTTACGGTCCCACTCTGAGACAGTGTGAGAACGCATGCGTCTCTGTGGGACTGCTAGTATTCTCCCAGATAAGCACACTAAGGCTCAGGAAGGACTAAGCAATTTGCTCAAAGTTTCCACTATTAGCCATTCAGTGGGAGGATGGGATTTTCAAACTCAGAAAGGTGTGGAGCCTGCCTCCACTCTTCATCCTGATGGTGGTTGTAGTCGAATATATCATGAATCA